ACAAATGTTCGATGAAACAATTTCGACGAAAATGGATAAATGTAAACCTCACAATTTGACTATACGATCCTTTCCACCTGAGACAACTCTCTGACCGTCTGGACTCCAATCAAGTGCGTAGACGGCGTCGGCATGACCAGGCAGGTCATGAAGCATGTGGCGCCGTCTCTGGTGAGGTGGTTCCTTTTCTTCACAAGCTTTATCAACTTTCTTTCTATGGTCCTGTTGACTCCTCTTTACGGCCGCTTCTTGACTCCAACGGCGGACCTCGAGCACACTCCACAATTTAAGTGTGGAATCTCGCGAACAAGATACTAGAAGGCGCGAATCACTGGACCACGCTACCAAGTACACGTCCTGAACGTGGCCGAACATGGTTGCGAGAAACCTTTATAGTCAGGAAAAATAACGTTTGCTGTACGCAAATTCACAATGATGCAATAGAAAGCGACGTGCAATAACCTTGGACTTACTGTCCAGTAAATCCATCCCAAATCTTTACGGAGTGATCGAAACTAGCGCTGGCGATGAGGCGGGAGTCTGGCGAAAACTTAACATCGTTGACTACACCTTGGTGACCCGTCATTCGCAGACAAAGCGAGTGCTTTGTGACTTCAGGAGTCCACAAGGACAGTGTGTTATCATCGGAACCTGCCACCAGACGCTCAGGTCCACTCCCCTACTCAAAGGTAAAAATAATGGATTGGTGAAAAAACCCAGTGGTTTTGCAATAATTGAATAGGTTTAATAAAAAGAAAAACGTTAATGTTAACTTTGAGCGAATGAGTAGCATCACCACACAGGCCACTTTCATCTCCGAGTAATAAAGTAGCATCCACCACTCAAGATCTGCTGTTAAAGAGGCTCCAGCATTTCAAAGTTACAAAGAGTCGATGAGTGAAGTGATGCCTGACTTTACTACTTATCTCCGTGAAACAAAACCGGTATTGCTGCAACACAAGACCTTACCTTGACATTCTCATAGAGTTGCTTGGCACGATGTTGCATTAACTCCCCTAAAAAGTCAAATTACTGTAGAGCAATACATTTCAGTAAGAACAGGTCTGAAAGTGGAGAAAGGAGTCAGCCTGTTTACGTTTATTCGTGGCTTCTGTACTAACAGAGAACGAAGACTTGACGAGAACAGCATCAGCCGGATCGAAAGGACCAGTTCGAAGAACGTAGTCAACGCTGAGTGCCAGACAGTTGACCCAGTGACCGTGGAGGTCTAGCCGCCGACAGAGTACCCCATCGGTGCAGCGCCATACGCGAATAGTCCGGTCCTGACTAGCCGAATAGAGGAGATCAGTTCCACCCCAGCGCAGACATGTCACCGGCTTCTCATGACCTGTGAGAATGCGGTGCGGTCTTCCAGTCACCGTGTCCCATAGCACTATCGACGTCTCCTGATATGCTGCGGCCAAGAGACGACAATCTTTGTCCCTTTAAATTAATAAAAACCAAAATCCCTCGGTTTTTGTGACAAGGGTAAGTACAATTTCGTAAAGTCATGAATAAATGGAAATAAGGGCGCCAAGGACAGATAAGTCCATTATCTCAAATAAGCCAATCTGACAGATGAAATGGTCGCCACACAAGAGACCGAATCCAACGAGTCTTCGAGCTGGCAGGAGTTCGAGCAAGTGAAGGTTGAATAAGGGGCGAAAGTGAGTCTAGTATCCAGTTGCATGTCTCATCTTGTTTCCATAAACAAATGAGACCGCCTTGACAACCTGATGCGAGACGCAAGCCGTCAGGAGACCAGGATAGGCACAGGATCGGTGACTGATGGGCATTGGGAACAAAGGTTTGGGGAAGTTCCGTGTTAAGATCCCAGAAGCGAACATTGCAATCGCCTGATCCTGTGGCTAAAGCTCTTTAAACATTACAAAGCATTAGCCACAATCATTGACGAAATTTGACGCAAAAGATTATAAAATAATCTACCTCCTCCCAATTCGTCTCCTTTAAGGAGGTTTCACATTCGCACAAAAGCAGGGGTATTACTAATAAATATACTGCTTTCGATGAAACAGGGAGCTAATGGCTAACCTAGCATTCGAATTATAAGGGAAAACAAATGAAACAATTCTAGAAACGTAACCACAATTTCCTCTATCTAGCCCCATGCGAAGAAAAAGTGAGAATCTAACTAAAAGTCATAAAATGAGAATAAATGAATATTTTGACCCTCACTTGGCATCTGGTGAGAAAAGAGCAACCAAGATTGCACCTTTATGCCCCGGAAGTGTGCTGGTGCATCTAGTGACAGGCCTAACACGGAAGATTGCCTGTGCTTGATAAGTCACTTTTATAATAGATTCCATCAAGGCACCTGAGCTGGCTTCAGCATTGGTATGCTGCCCTTCGGCAGCAGACTGGGCTATGCCTGAGCCAAGATCATCGAGAATCTGCGTCTTTCCGATAAAAAAGGTATATGCCTCCAGTTCATTCAATTCCTTCAACAAAGTGAATTAATGACAACAGTGAGGAGCTAATAGAAAGCATGCCTGTAGAAGAACAAACCTTTTCGAGGAATGTGGCGAGAATGTTATTAAGGTCAGATACGGAACTACTAAATGGCACAAATACAGGCGTGCCCGTTTCTTCTCCGTCAGAGCTGACGAATTGAATAAAGATAGATTGCTCTCCAGATTGAAATCCGCTGACCTGATCACTAACAATGGGATCAAGTCTCGCAACCGCCATGCCTTAGAGGATGAACTAAAATCAAGGAAAGCAGCGGAATGCTTAACTCGATGGTCCAGCATAAACAAAGAAGCTGGAAGAAGCAAAAACTATAGATTGGATCTGATAGATAAATATCTATAGAAGCAAAGTTTAATACGAAGACAGCAAAACGAAGCCAAACTGTAGAGATCCACAACCAACTGATCAATGCTATGCAGTTTCGATGAGCCCAAGTAACTTACATACAACGCACACATGTTTAACAGTATGCTGCTGGTTAAAAGGGTAAAGAATTAAACGTTACAACGAAACATCAACAAATAATGCCATGAATAAATTGCATGCTTTTAACATGCACACATCTAAGGTTCTTTAAAAACTGAGCCTAGTAGAATGACTCACATGACCAAACTGCAATTGATTGAAAAGTTATATGCACCTAAAAAAATTTTGATAAAAATTATTTACTCCAAAGTTTTTATACTTCTTAAGGTAAAACTCTCATAGCATGCATGTCTGTCAAATTAATAATTATTTGTATCGGTTTTGATGCATGCGCCATTTTAAAGCAAAAGAGCTTAATTACCCGATTTTATACACGAACGGCAGTCAGTATGGTATTGGTTTCGGACTTGATCTGTGAATTTGCCTTTGAGGAAAACCAAGAATAATCCACAATTTACTCTGAGAAAACATATATTCATTCCTATCAAGTGAGATTTCCCTAGATACCACAAATTCACTATACACAACGACAATAGGAAAGGAAGGCAGGAAGATTTCACGGACGTAAAGATAGCAATCCTGGAAGGGGAAACTTTTAAATTGAATTAAACAGCGCTGTGAAATTTATGCCTAGATCAGCGGAACGTCTTGAAGTGGCCCAAAGCTTCCCACAGGGTGGAAGAAGGCATAAGTAAGGTTGATAACAAATGGGCCTGAGGGTGGCCCGAAGGCCAGCCCATGGGTACAAGGGCCAAACAAATCCTC